GTGTGTGTGTGTGTGTGTGTGTGTATATATAAGGGCACACCAGAGTGTGACTACAAAGTATTTAGAAAACATTATTTGGGCAGATATTCTCAGACATTTTTGCTTGTGTTTAACATCAGCGTTGTTCTAAGCAATTCACAAGTCTTTGAACCTTTTAACGTTACTGTCGTGCAGACCCGGTTCATTTGGCTGCCTTAAGCCCAGATGCTTTGTGGCGCCCCTCCTCCCTGAAAATAAACAATAGTTGAGTATTTGTCAGCAAGTTTCTCTTTAGCTGGTTGTAAAAAATTAGGGCTCACAACAGATTTTAAGTGGAATTAATTAGACGAAACAAAGAAAGTACAATGAATTAAACGTAACAATGGGGAGTGTTATGCAGAACTAGATCTCCTCTTTTAAGGTGATTATGACTTATTTTCTCCTCTCTCCTTTTTTCTCTGCTGTTTTCCCATTTATTTGTTTTATGGAAATCCATAAAAACATCAAAAGATTGGACTTTACAGAGGAAACTGACAGCCAGCATGTAGGAGAATGACCATGTGGACAATTTTATCTGATCTCTTATTATCCATCCATCCATTTTCTTTACACCCTTGTCCATTGGTGGGGTCAGGAGGGTTGCTGGTGCCCATCTCCAGCCAATGTTCTGGGTGAGGTACACCCTGGACAGGTTGCCAGTCTGTTGCAGGGCAACACAGAGACAAACAACCATGCATACACACATTCACACCTAGGGGCAATTAACCTGACATGTTTTTGGACTGTGGGAGGAAACCGGAGTACCTGGAGAAAACCCACACATGCACAGGGAGAACATGCAAACTCCATGCAGAGAGACTGGGGCTGGGAATTGAACCCAGAACCTTCTTGCTGCAAGGCAACAGCTCTACCAACTGCACCACTGTGCAGCCCCTGATCTCTTATTATTAATCACAAATCTTTAACTATATGTTTGGTCACCTCTGAAAACAATGAGGTACATCAAATTTTACTAATGCTTATCACAATAAAAATGTGATATAAAAGTTTGCATGCCACCATTTTTTTATTTGTGACATAAATGAAAACCATGTATTGCTTTTCCTTAAAAATATATGCAAAATGTTGTGTTTGTTCTTATTCCTATAACAAAACCTAAGGCTTTGAAACAACATTTTTTCACATTGTTTGTCAAGTGCAATTATTATCTTTTAGAATAAACTTTTAGCCTAAAGGAAATACAAATTACAACAATAGATTTTTCAACTCCTCTTTGTTGGAGTAAATATGCTGTATCTGCAGCTTGTTTGATTAATATATTGTTTCCAAGCTGCTGAATTAAGGCAAACAGCCTGCTGTATATATTTACTCAACACTCTGACTCTGCAGACCTTGTCGACTCTGTGTCACTTCATCTCTGCTCGACTGCCAGAGGATAGAAGCAAACAAACAGGCCCAAACCTTTAAAACAGGTCAGATGATTATGTGACAATGATGTTAAAGGAAACGTTTCAAGTTAGATGGGAACATTATGTTTTGATTTGGGAGCAGAAAATAAAAGCTCTAGATTTGAGGTCTTCTAACAAAACAGTTCCAGTCTGCGGGGAACAGATATTTTATGATGCAGAGTCCCCCCGGTGATACTTTGAATTTAAATTAGAATCATAACTTTAAAGGGTTTGTGCAGTTTGACCGCAATATGTTTTTAATTTGAAGCATTTGTTCAAACCTGTGACAGGTTTTTGGCCTTCCAAATTAATGTAAAACACGCAGAGGCTGAATTTCAAAGACAGAAAACTGGATGCCTTGCAAAGATTTTCATACCATTTAAGCTTTTTCATATTTCCAGGACAACGTTCCATTGTTTTAAAACATGTTGGAAAGGGCTGAATGTTTAAGGTTGTTATCCTTCAAAAATATGAACCTCCAAAGCAGTTTAAAGATTCACTGTAAAAGAAAAGAGAAGCATCCCAACAGCATGACACTGCCATCACTATGTTTCAGTGTTGGGAAGTTATGTTGCAGTTGACACACATCAATAGCTTTTTGCATCACATGGTGCTTTTACATACGGTGGCTTGCATACAGTAGCCCTTGGACTTTTCCATTTTGTCGCATTACAGCCACAAACTTAAATGTATTACACTGGAATTCAATGTGAAATATCAACACAAGGTGGTATACAGATGTGAATTGGAAAGAAAATTATACAGGAGTTAAACATACTTTTTACACACAGAAAGTGCGGCATCCAAGGTATTCTGCCAACTGGGTCAACACTTTGTGGAACCTCCTTTGGCTCCAATTACAGCTGCTGTTCTTTTAGGGTTTGTCTCGACCAGCTTTGCACATCTGGTGACTAAAATTTGTGCCCATCTTCTTTGCAACATCATATTAGATGGAGAACGTTTTGAACAGCAGTTTCCAGATCTTGCCAAAGATTCTTGGTTGGGTTTAGGTTTGACTGGGCCATTCTAACACTAATTTATTTTATTGTATCCCTTGCTTCATGTTTAGGGTTGTTGTTCTGCTGGAAGCTGAAGCTTCTGTCCCAGTCTCAGGTCTTCTGCAGACTCCATCAGGTTTTCTTCCCAGATTGCCCTGTATTTGGCTCCAACCATCTCTGACCATCGCCCCCTTTCCTGCAGGAGAAAAAGCACTCCCAGAGCATGATGCTGCCAACACCATATTTGACAGTTGGGGTTGGTTCAGAATGGTGCGCAGTGCATGTTCTTTTGAATTCAAAGACAGTTGAAAACAATTCTTTAAAAAAGTGTTCTTGCTAAGTTTTCTGGCATTTAGGGAACATAAATAATTTTGGTATTTCTGACCAAGAGAGGTTTGGTCAGATTTTGTCTTCTTAGTCAGTGTTTGTAAATATCTGGTTTCAAATGCAGTATTTCTTCCACTTCATTATTTTTGCACTAGTTTTGACTTGGTTTATCACATAAAATCCCAATAAAACACCCTAAAAGTTTGTGGCTGTATCAAACAGTGTGTGAGAAAGTTCAAGATGCTTTAATCATAGTGAGCTGCTCTGCTAACCAAGTTAGCCAGTGACTATTACCATAACAAAGAGCAAGGATGACATAACATACAGGTATGTTGAACACAGAAGCACAAATTTTTAACCACATGCACACTCCATTTTCATCAGAAACTATGTTTATGATGGAAACTTCACACAACAGCAATCCACACTTGATCATTTTTATCTCAGTTTTGCTGACCGGATCATTTTTCTCTGGTTTGGTTGACAAAAGCATGACCTTTTAGTGGTGCTAAATTTAAGTTGGAGTTAAAACAGGGACACAACCAACAGCTTATATGAGAAACTGTTATTTTTAAAACCCGGGTCAGAGGCCAAAGCACAGTTTTAAATCAATAAAATGAGCTTTATAAGCCATGTGGTGCTTACCTGCGCATATTTGGAATGCAGTTGAAAATGGACACATTTTCCTGATTTGAATCCAAGCTAATTAGCATTGTAACAAAGAGTGAGCCTTAAAAACAGATCCAGACATTTGCCAACAGTAAAACCAGCCACCTGGAGACTAACTGACTGGACTTTTTGTTTTAAATACACGTTAATTCAGATTAAACAGTAACCAGTCAGCCTATTTTTATTGTTATAGTAATAATTAATGTTTATTACCAGCCTACTTTCTCTTGTTTATTTTTGAAGATGTGTAATAAACTTCATAGTTTGATTAATTTTAAATAGTGGTATTCCCAAATATGTTTTATGAGATTAACTCAACAAAACTATCGTTAATATGAACTGATACGATCTGGTAACTGATTCTAATTAAGCTTAAAGTGTTTATAATGACAAAGCTGATGTTCACTGCCATATAAATGAGTAACAAATACAGAAAGTATGAGTACAGGAAACAGTTTAAAAACACACAATTATTTCCTAATAGAGTTTTATGGTCATTATCATAAAATCTTTTTTAGTGTAAGAGATTTTGAGGTTGGTTGGGAGTTTTCTCCTTTCTCACTTCAAAGACATGAGTCATAAAGCAAGTCCTGTTGTAATACAGACTGTGTCTTTTGGGTTTTATCAGCTAAAAGTTACCTTCTCAGCTCTGTTTCCCTGCAGCAGACCGACTGTCGCTCCTCGTCTTATGGTTGTGATTAAGAAAATTGAATGGTTTTAATCTATCCCAAACTTGTTTGCTAATGACACAACTTCCTTGTTACTTGCATTCCTCGTTTTAATGTGATGACGGCATTTGCAGAGAACTGTGGAAACAGCCAGAGAACAGAACTAAACATTTGCATGTTGTCGTGGCCTGCACATCACGTCCCATTCTGCTCCTGCTTAATTTTACCTTTCTGATTTTATGTTTCCTCCGATTATCCAACTGCCAATTTTTTAACCAGAAAACAAAAACAAAACAACCTCGTTAAAACAAATGCACACATTATGTGTTACCATGTGTTCTTAGTATTTGTTTAAATTGCATTCCATGTGGTGGGCATACCTACCAGGTTTGACCTGTGACACTGTGGTCACCCGTGCTTAGCTGTCAAGAAAAATATGAGAATCTACCTTTTATTTGGGTCAGTGATCATGGGAACACTGTTGGTCTGTCTTGTGTTTAGCATGTGTGCTGGTTGCCATGTAAGTGAAAGGAAACTGTAAAACAACGGGAAGTTTCAAACAAGCACTTTGATTGGTTAAAGACATGCTCCAGCCTTAGTGCTGATCCCTCATAAACATGGTTAGTGTTGCTTAATAAATGAGAAAAAGGAGTTCTTGTCAAGTCCTGTGGTAACTACAAATTCTGAGCTGGTTTGTAAATCTCGGTTTGTAAATCCGCTGCCACGTTGTGATCTTAGTTGCTATTAAAAAAAAAAAAAGAAGAAGAAGAAGATTTATGTTGTCTACTGTAGAACAAAGATTTGGGTTTATTGGCCAGATTTAGATTTATTGATTTGCTAAAATGCCCTTTTCTGGAGTTAAACATGATTTCTTAACTCATTTCATTTTTTTTTTTTAAATTTAGGAATAAATAAGTTTCCTTTGTTCTGAGAATGCAATTATGAATAACTACATAGTATTGTTTCTATAATACATCTGGACAGGAAAAACTGCAAAAAAAAAATGTACGAGCGCACTAGTCACAGATTATTGCAGCACTTTACCTTGTTTGCGTTGCTCAGCCACACACATACAGAACACATGGTCACATTGTGTTGTAGAAAGACCTCACATGGGGCATGAGATTTAATGTGCAGCTATAATTGGCTGTTTCTGGGTTTCTCTGATATGATTAACATCAGATCTGTAGGAAGCACTTTTAATTAAAGCACAGTGATTTAGCAGTATTGCCGGCAGCAGTGTGGACACTTGCTCTGAATGTGTGTTTAAATAAAACGTTGAATAAGCCTGTATTTTCCATTAAGAGTGCTCTATCAACATTTCCGCGTGTGACTTACTGTCTGTTGTAATATTTCTCCCAGGCCACACAGCTGTGCAGTGCAGTCTGAATTACGACAAAAGGTTTCACATTATCTTCCCAGAGTTTGCAGTTTCAACCAGGGAATTCACACATTTTTCTCGTCGCGTACCCCGCTGCATGTTGGCAACGTGTAGTGAAAAATCGGTCTTGGGAAATGAACTTCAAACATGCAAATTTTTTTATTGTCTTATCTGACTTTTGTCTGCATGTGGTGTAATTTAGCTAACGGGGCATGATTCCGAAAGGAGCATGGCTGGGAACTCAGCAGTAATACACGCTTCAACTATAGTTCAATCAAGCCACAGCTGCTGTCAGAAAATGTAAAGTTCTAAGGTCTTACTTAACAACACTACCGAGATACAAAGCAGTGATAAAAACTTGTGTTTTCCTTCCACCTCAAATCTAAAATATTTTTATGACTCTTTCGTCAGACCAGAGTCAGTCAGCGGGTCTTTGTAAACGTCATAAACCTTGTTAAGCCTGATTGTGCAGAAGAGTAGAGGCTAGTCCTGTTCTTCCAGGCTGTGACCCTGTTGGCTTGCTGATCAGCAGTTTTGAGGATCTGCCCACCGTGCAAGGAAAGGTTGGTCCTCTCCCACAGCTTGTAATCCCTCTCACCCAAGGAGGTCATGTCCGTGTTGGGAAACATTCCAGACGTAGCCACGCTCTCTGCCCCGTTAAACCAATCGTTGAGCACACACAAAGTGGGAGATCTCTCTGGATCATTGGATGATGGCGCTACAGCAGGGGGGGTGCCACCTCTTTGGCCTGACTGGTCAGGGTGTCGAATAGGGTTAACCCCCTACATCGGTTTGAACAGCTTTGCACTTAAGCCACTTCCAACGCCACTCGCACAACTAATGGAGGTCACACACAGGACGGGATCTGTTTGCTAGAGAGTTGTAAACAGTTTTACAAGTAGTTAAATAGTGCACAGGCTCGTAGCTAATGATTTAATTCCTTTTTGTGCCTGAAATACATCTGAGAAGAATAAAACACTCAGAGCAAGTTAGCTGAGAAGAAAGCCAAAAGACGCAGTGGTAACATAACTTTTTGGAAGGCCTTGTAATATTGCATAATACAAGGGCCACACAAGACAAAAGTGGTGATAGCAGAAGTTAGTGTTAAGTTTCTAGCTCTATTTTTAGTTAATAAAGTTAATATTTACATACTAATTTATTCAGTGAGGAGGAGAAGTCCAAGAAGAGAAATAGAGAGAGCAGTGGCTTAGAGACACAACATACCAGCATTGCACAAGAGGTTTTAAAAGCCCAGTCTGTCACTCACAACAGTGAATAACGACAAAAAACTGACAATTTAAAACCACAAACTCCTGATAATGCAAGGACTTTTGGAATACTTGCTTTAGCTTGTGCTTTAGTTTGCATATAAACAAAAAAGTGTAAAACAGGAAGAAAAATCTAAAGTTTAATTATACACAAATAAGGGAGTTTTGTTTATTAATAAGGTGAAACCAATCACGTCTGTCATCATTTTTTGCCTGTGTTAAAATGCACGTTATAGTACACATAGTTATTGGACAGGTGTGTTTCTGTGACATTGGTTGCAGGCGATCTAACTCCAACTGAACCCCTTGACCCATGAGCATTTGGGGTAATCCTGTTACATCTTTGCAGTTGTACTCTCTGCTTGTGTCTTACTTTCTCAAAATATTGGAGTAATGAGCCTGAAACCCTGAGGTCATTGCTCCTGTTATTCATTTTAATGACCTGCCTCTAATGGTCGGATCAAAGACATTCAGACATTTCTCACCTGCAAAACCTTTTTTTTTTTTTTGCATTTTGGCCGTAATAAAACCCCTCTTTATTTTGTTTCCTACTAATGCAGGCTGCGTTATCACGTCTTGGACAGTGATCTCTGTAGCGGACAAGGCAACATGTGTTCAGACTTGAGTCGTGTCAGAGCCAGACTAGAGTCTGTGTTCTCAGCTGCTGACTGCTGGGTGCACCTGTGAGACCAAGAGAGCCTCTCACTTTCAAAGCGTCTCACAAACTATAAATCACTCAAGATTGTGCTGCTACAGTAGAGGTGGGAGTTTTCATGGGGGCAAAATGGGGCTATGAATTCACAATAATGAATTATGCTTTCAACTGGGGACTAGTTTTTGATGATGGCAATTTGTTCAAAATACAATGATGATTGCCTGAGGGTTAGGACAACAGTGCAGGAAGTTTATGTGATTTCTCCACAATCATTACGCTATTATATTAATATTATGTTAAGAATGAGCTTTTACTGTTTAACAAAGATTGAAAGGAGAAAAAAAAACCCTCTAATATATTGGTTTGTGTGTTTTACAAACATTTTCCTAAATGCCTGCAGAAATTAATGTTGATAGCATCATTTTATGTCTCTAAAAAAGAAAACAAACATAAAAGAAGGCCAAATGAAAATCTTATCAGCCACAAATTTCAACTCATGTTCACCAGCACCTTTAGTCAATTCATATCCAAAAACATATATATAATCTAAATTCAGTTCAAATCAGTCCAGTTCCTTTCAATACAATCCAGTTCAGTTCAGTGAGATGACAATTAAGACACAACTGCCTATTTTTCATTTCTAGTCAAATATTGTCAAATTTATTTGATGAAAAACTGTCGATTTGAGAAAGTCCACGTGATTACATTGACGTTTTTGTTTGTATATTTTAGATATTATTTTACCGATTCTTTAGCAGAATAATGCAGAACAAAAACTTGTGAAACTTCACTCCAAAGCTGAGAGTTTGCCACTGTCGCTGACTTTTCTAAAAAGCCTTGGTGATGGGTAGAATACAATTCTTTTAACTTCTAATGAACTGCCGTTAAAGTGTCCGGAGTCTTTAAGTAGTACGGGGAATTATTGCGGAGGGTTTCTCTTTTAGCCACCGTGATATAAAGTCACCTCATTAAAATTCTACTCTCAACCCAAATTAATTGAGCTGACAGGAAGGTTTTGTCTGCTTAAACTATAAATCTGACTTCTAATGTTGACAAAAGACTCATTGCAGTGCTGCTCAAACACATTGTTTAAGGTGAAGAGCTTCCCATCAAGATTTTTCTAAGCTTTGGCTTTGTATCTTCTGTCAAATGCACCAGTGTAATGTGCAGTAAATAATGAAAATTTCCAAGCCCTTTCAAGCAGTGAGTCGTTTGTAAAACTGAAGTGCCAATTGCTGAACAGCACTCGGAGAATCTGAAAGCCAAGTTCAAAGCCCATCATTTCCCTGACTTTGTCACATCACTTTTTAAAGACCTTTTAGGGTTAGCTAAATTGCATTTAATTTTGTGAGTTCGGTCATTTGTTAAGAAATGTGCAGTCTCTATTTTGTGGAAAGGTTCATTAATATCAACTAACAATCTAGAGCTACAGGGGTACAAAACTTCTAATTTACTTTTCCTGTTCGGTACAGTTTGATTCCCTTTAACACAGGCAGAACTTTGTCTGTTTTTGTATTGGCTTTGTTCCTTTGTGGCCCAAAAATCTATTGTATAATGAATAACATATACTTATGTTTGCAAATGATTATGCGAGAAAAACATACTTGCCTACTAAACCAATTCCTTCAAGTCCAACTCCATGAACACAATAAAAGCTTTGTCACAGGACATCTGGGATAACATCTGACCTGGAATGAGCTGCAAAGCTGGACAAAGCTTAAAGAATGTGCCAGCTTTAGAGTATGCAGAAACATAAAATTATAAACAATCTCTCTTAGTCTAGGCCACCATGCAAAATTTTGCCCCTCCAGTTTGAGGATGATCATCAGCCACACAGTGAGGTGGAAACATCATGATTTGGGACTATTGGCAGGTACATGTACCACAAAATCTTAAATGAGAACCTTCTTCCTTCAGTGATAACACTGATGAAGGATCATGAATCTTCCATTATGACAATGATC